TTCCTCCTGCCTGGACAATAAGGCATCTACAGTGGAGTAGTTTCCTAAGTACACACACACACACACACAACTCTCTTCTTTTGTGACATGTCAGTGATGATATTTTTTTGTCATGATAGACTTTTCTCAAGAGTATTAGTACAAAGTACAGTCACTGGGAATGCCTGTAGTTATGAATTGAAGCTTTGTTGGAGTTTTTTTTTTTTTCCACTTCTCAAAATTTTGCCTTTATAACTGAGTATTTAAGATATCTCCTTGTTTCATTGTCATATTTTATTCAAAATTGAATGGGAAAAAAAAAAAACTAATTATTGATGATTGTAAAGTAACAAGAGTAATTTGTTTTTATGATGACTCATAATGAAGTAGAATTCTCCATTTTTTAATATTTTCATTTTCTTAAAGTTGTTTTGCTTTTCTTTTCTTTTTTTAACATTCTATTCACATAAGACAGATTTTTTTATCTTGTCTTTCTCGTGTTACACTGTTTTTGTAAATGTTATGTGTCTGATTGTTGCATATCATTACTTACTCAATGTTCAGTTTTTCTTACATGAAATATACTTTTGCTTGAAATTAATTTGGAGAAATAATTTTCAAAATTCCTGGTATTGAAAACAACAATTACATCTTGAATTTTATTTTTTTTGTACAAATAAATACAATTTAGATTAAGAGGTTTCAGTTTAATTAAATTTTTTATTGATTGACTTAGAAATGTCGTTATAAGTTTAAGCATTTTTTGCAATTAAAGTCATTAACACATTCTAATGTAACTATGACTGGAATATTCACTTGTCTTGATTATTGTGCATGCACCATAGTTCTCTTGCGCAGTAATTGAGACAAGTTAGATCAGTAAACAAGGCCATTAACTACATTCTCTTCCGTGCTTAGCTTTCCACAGCGAATGTATGCAAACAACGCCAGTAATGGCTGCCGCCAATGGCATGAATGAATCCAACTTTTACTGTCGATAACTCCAAAATGGTAGATTTTATCAAATTTATCAAGCCATGCTTCAAATGAAGCATGTAGAATTACACATAAATGTAAGTATTCTGGAAATTTTTAATGCAAACTGAGTGCAGGTGCTAAACTGCAAATTAACCACACTTTTTTTTTCTTATTGTTAAAAAAAAAATGCAATAACTTTTTTAACTGCCACCCAGTGGCGTAGCTAGTGTTTTTGCCGGTGCTCGGTAAAAATGGCAACGGAAAAAATGGCAGGGTAAAAATGGCAACGGTAAAAATGGCAAAAGGGGATAAATAGGAAAAAATGGCAATTCAACAACAGAAAATTATGAGTACCATTTGAGAAGGATGGGTCTAAGCTCCCATCCCTCTAGTTTAAAATAGGACTAAGTCCCCCACTCAATATTTTAAAATAAATATTTTTAAATAGATATTTACTTTAGTGGGGGGGGGTAGCTAGGCTCCTTCTCCTCTTGTTTTAAATAGGGTTAAGTTTCCACTCCTAGTATTAAAAACATTTTTTTTTTTCGATTTTTAGAAGTTTTATTGGGGGGCGCTAAGTTCCTACCCTAATTGCAGTAAAAGCACAAATCGTAGGTGTTTAAGTGAATTTGATGACTATATAATTCATTTTATAATTGATAGCTGACATTAGGATTAGATGTGTGTATATATATATATATATATATATATATATATATATATATATATATATATATATATATAAAATAGTGTATTAGTGTTTTTTTTATATATATATAAAATAAATGTATTAGTGTTTTTAAGTGTATTGTGTGTGTGTGTGTGTATATATATATATATATATATATACATACATACATATGCATACATTAGTCTTGGGACGATTAATCGCAATCGGGAAACTGAAAAATCGCGAAGGTTAGGAATCCCATACAGATTTCGTATTGACTCTCAGAGTCTAATTTAATTATTTTATTGGTAAAGGAAGTAAATATTCTAGAGTTCACTTAGCCTATTCCTCAGCAAACCTTTTGAATTTCTGTTCACACCTATTTGTTAAATGTCTATATGACGCCTCTCAGAGACGTCATATAGACACCTATTTGTTAAATGTCTATATGACGCCTCTCTTGAGTATTAAAAGATTGAAAACGCATCAGACAAGATTTTAAGTTTTACTGGCACCAGTCTGACCCTATCGTTGTCTGATAGCCTCTGAAATAATTAATGTTTTATTGTTTTGTTTTTTTCGGTCTCATCAAGTGGATCTATAATTGTTTTTTCCCAAAATATTTCAGTGTGTTCAGACGTAATTGCCTAAAAAGTAAAATCTCATGGGAGTGGGGAGCTTTAGCTGAATATTCTTTTTAATTTGACAAACTTCTCATTTTTTTCCATTATGTATTGTATCCAAGATTTTAATAAACTCATTGTGAGATATTCATCTATATTTTTTTTCCTTTTGCCATTTTTTTTATTTATCCACTTTTGCCATTTTTACCGTTGCCATTTTTACCTATTTATCCACTTTTGCCATTTTTACCGCAATTCGTTTTTGCCACCCAGGGCAGTCCTCAAGTTTGCTGCTCCTCCCCAGAAGAAATACAATAATGCACATTAACCCCTTAGTGTTTAGTTTATTTATATATACACACACGTTACTTTTTTTCTAAATCGGGAAAAGTTTAAAAACTTTTTTTACAATTAAAAGAAAGATAACTTGTTTTTTTTTACCCTTTTTTTTTTTTTTTTTTTTTTTTAAAGAAAAACAAAAAAACACACTGTACTTTTAATTCGTAATTTATCAGTTTTTTTTAAATATTTATATTTCAATTCTAACAAGTGAGGAGTCATAAATTAAATGCCACATTAACAGAAACAAGGTTTCTTTTTCTCTTTAACAATGTAAAAAAAATGCAATGTCTTTTTAAATTATTTTGTTTTACATAGTTGAAGTTATTATTAGCAAAGTATTAGACTAATTAAAATTCTGATCAATGCCTTTAAAAATGTTCATATTTTTTTCACACTTTTTGCTCACAGCTTGTAAGTGGGTTTTATCCCCATCAGCTGACAGTGTTTTTGGAGACAATTTTTTTTTATTGTTGGCTGGCAAAAGAAACAAAAAAACAAAACACACTTTTTTGCATAAACTTCTGCCTCTATTATCTATAATATTAGGAATCAATTTGAAATTTAGAATTCAATAAGTTCTTTGGATAATTTCTTCTTGAATTCCTTAGATAGCTGTGGAATGAAATATTCTTAAAACACAAATTAATAGGAATTGTAATAGTAATTTACTAGAAATACACATAATAATTTAATGGTTTTCTTATTTGACTTTTCTAATCAATCTTAATTCTTAAGTAAATGATTGAATAAGCTCAAGGCGAGTTCTACAATTGTAAAATATTCATATAAATTCGCCTATTGCGTTGTTAAATATTTGAGCTTAACAACTTTAACAAAATATTACAATAACAATCATAAATATGAATATAGGTCATTATTTCAATAAGTAAGGGGGTAAAAATGAAAAAAAATATTGAAAATGGCACTTTTCCATTTCACTGAAACTGAGTTTAAATGCTTCTATCATCTCACAGGATATAACAGTCATGCTAACTAAGAGGAACAAGCAGAATTCTAACAAGATAGTTTGTAAAAAACAACTGAGCCAATAAGATTGTTTTGCATAAACTTCTGCCTCTATCATTAAACAAATGCAAAATTTTGCTATGTGAAATTGTGTCAGTCTAACTGTAAAAAATATTTATTTAGAATAAATTGATAATTAGTAATCAGTTTGAAATTTATACTTAAATAAGTTCTTTGAACAATTTGTTTTTGAATTTCTTAGATGAATAATAATAATATACAGTTAATGAAACTGCTGTCCTCTTTCCTTCAATGTATCCTGTGAGTGTCAAATTCTCTTAGCTTCCTTTTCTGAGAACATGTCCCAGAAATTTTCGCTGTATCTTTCTGATTTGTATTTATTTTTATTTTCCTTAAAACATCCATGTTTCATGCTGCATACACATGATTCTTATACAGCAATTCAACTCAAGTATGGTTTGAATAGCTTTTCACAATAAGAATTATGTAGTCTTCTGGTAGGAGGCCTATAGATATTCAATGCACTTGCAATTATATCTGGAATAAAAAAGATATTTAAATCAGATACTGAAAAATTATTGGTTTACCTGTAAAAGTACATCAATAGTGATGGTAAATATTAAATCATAATTTCAGATACTTGATATCTAGTAAAACACACCTGTTCAAATTTTCATAATGATTTCCATTATTTAATTTCATTAAATGTTACAAGATTCTTTTATCTTCAGGTTTTAAAAGATTTAACTTGTCCCTGCAAATCCTCTAAAATATTTTTCTTTTTCTTTTTTCATTTCAGTTTAGCTTCCCAGCAATGTGAAGTACACCAGTTAAATCCACATAACATGGAAGAAACATCAGGTGAAGAGTGCTTTCCTCCCATGAAAAAGGGTGCCTACAATCTGGATTTTCTTGATGACAATGCTTGTTTTAACCCTTTTGAGTCAAAGTGCAAATTGGGCGAGTCACCACCTAGTGAATCTAGTTTTGATGAAAATATTAACCCTTTTCAAACCAAGACAAAGCTTGGTCATTCACCTCCTCAGAATCCTGCAGATGACAATTTTAATCCTTTCAAGACAGATTCCAAGCTGAGACACTCACCAGAGCCAGTTAATAATCTTAATTATGAAGAAAAGAATGGAAGCCAGATTGATGACATGGATAATTTGTCATTTGATCAGGAAAGGTACATTGAAGATGAAGAGTTAGATGATTTTTCTGATCCAATGTTTGACTATGGAAGTGAAAATACTCCAATAATTGATAAGAATATTAGTATTGTAACTGCTGACAAAGATCAAGGTGGTGCTGCTCTTAATCATTCTGATAGAGAGCAATCGTACGATAGTCTTGAAGAAAATGTAACTCAGGATGAATTTATAGACAATGACTTTGCTTTTACTGGCAATAGAGACTCAATGACACATCCAGCTGATGCCTATGATGATTTCAAAGATGCTGAAAGTTATGACAATATTTCCAGAAATGATGATCTTACAGAAACAGACAGACAATTAAAGAAGGAAATGGTTCATAAAGTTAAGCCACTTGATTTAAAGAAACATTTTGATGAGTTGGAAGAATTGGTTTCTTTAGAAGTCAGAAAAGACAGCCAAGAGTTGGTTGAAGAGCCTATCAATAACATTAATAATAATAATTTGAAAGGTTCAGAATCTGACCAAGAAGAATCTTTTCCTTACTCTGATGCTGCAGCAGACCAAATTGAAGACAGTGAAATACCTTCATTTGATCAAGTGTCAGAAGCTCATCCATTACCAATTCCAAATCTAACCACTGAGAATTCAGATGAACAAGAAAAACTTTCTCCTGACTTTGATGATGGAATTCTTCAAGAGAATTTAGTTCCAACCAAAGAGGACATCTACAAAAAAGAACAAAATGAATTTTCTTCTTTGGATGTCTTGGGCAGAGAAGAGCACAAAAGTGAGCCAATTGATGATCTTTCATCAAGCACAGTGCTTAACAGTCCCAACCTCTGTGAAGACAGTGGTCTTGGGGATAGTATTGTCACCTCTGGAAGTGAAGATTTGGATAAAGCAGATGACATGAAAAGTGAAGAGGGCATGGAATCTCTTCCTGCCACTCCTGATGCTTTATCTGACCAGAATCTCACACTTTCTCAAAAAAATGATGCAGGATTTGAAGATGATGAGGATTTTCAACCAGATGAACTTTTGCCTGAAATGTCCCAGGCTCAGTTGGCTGATAATGGTGAGGAATTTTTTTCTGAGAATATCTCTGAGAATATGTGCACTGCACTTGAAAATGGTAAATTGAATACTGCACATGATTTAGACTTAATTGCAGGAATAGATCCTAAATCAAAATCTTTGGTTGATGAGCCTGAAACAGAATGTTTGAAGGGGTTACCATGTAGAGAGTCATGTGAAGAATTTAAAGAGATTGGGGAAAGTTTGTTTAGTGATGAGCAACAAGGAGAGATTGAGAAATCTATTGACAACAATTCTCAGTCTGCTTTTGGAGAGAGTACAGTTTTTGAAAAAGATTTAGGAGAAATTCAAACAGAAAATATAATTGATAATATTCAAAATGATGAAGAAGTATTAGAAGAATCTGTTCTGCCTTTGTGTATTCCTGGAAAGCAAATAGATACTGAGGGTGAGATTGAGGAGTTTAATCTACCTTTAAGCATTAGCAACACTGAAGAAAGTGTAGCTGCAAAAGAGCATGATGAACTTGAAGATAATCTTGATAGTATTAATGATAGTGCAGCTCTTGATGATTGTAACTTCTCTCCAGCTATAGAAGAAATATTAGATCTGCCTATGGAAAATGTTCCTGGAGAGGCAATTGATGATGTTGAAACTTACAACTCCTCTATGACAACATTAACTACAAAGTTTAATGATGAAAGTGACTTTGATAAAGTAGAAGCTATCTTAGGTCTTGATACTGCAGATGATCTGGAGCATAAGAGTGTGGAAGATTCAAAAGATAGGCTGAAGGCAATTAGTTGTGAAGATCATCCTGATGATGTTTGTAGTGAGACAAATATTGAACATAGCAGTGAGCTAAATAAAGACTATGGACTTTTGAGTGGATTGGATAATGAAAAACTCCCAGAAAATAAGAGTGAAGATTTTTCACATGCATTTAAAATGTCTGAAAATGAAATAAATAACATTACAAATGCAGGAGAAAGTTTTGGTGATGAGTTCAAATTGGAGGAATTTAAGACTGATGAACTGTTTGACACTATGTCTAAGCATGAAAGTTTGTCAGAAAATGAGATCCAATATATTTCCAAGATCTTTAATCAAGATTCTGATACTAGTGATCCCAATACAGCTGCTGTTGCTACTGATATTGGGAATACCATAGAGAATAAAATGGGCTTGAAGTTCAATAAAAGCTCTGAAGAAAATATAAGTCTCAATGACTTGTCCCCAAATAAATCTCTTGAGTCTATAGATAAACTATTTGCCAAAAGTAGAAATAATGTACCGGAAAAAGTGCCTTCTGCTGAGTCAAGCCAAATGTCTGTTATTGGAGCTTTGGTTGTTGGTTCTCAGCTGATAGCTTCTGCAGTGCTTGGGCCTTCTGCTGTGTGCCCACCAGCACTGAAAAGTCCTTATTTCAATTCTCCATTGCATGAAACTCAGCAACTCATGGGCAAACCTCCATCACCACAAGCGTTCCCTCCTGCTGCCAGCTGTGTTTCGCCAGGCAACAAACAGATCAATGCTGAAACTGAAAGTACCGAAGATGGTGCCATTTTGCATCCTTTGACAACAATGTCGGAGGAATCCGATTCTCAGCCATCCTCTGAGGCTTTAGTTTTGGATCTACAAAGTAAAGAATTTGCAGTTGAGAATGGTACAGTGTCATCCCAATCAAAGGATTGTGTTACTGCACCTCAGATGAGGGTGACATCCATCTCTGCAGAAGCAAATATGCTGGAGGACGGTTAGTATAACACCAACACCCTGATCCCCTGGGCATTGTGGCTGTTCTACCTCTATGCATTTTGCCTCACCTTTCAACCAACAGTGATGTTTGCAAAAGAAACCTTTGTTAACTAATCACTGTCATTGGTACAAATGTCCAAACTGTCAGTTGTCTGCTTTTCGTGTAGTTTCATCTTTGTTCTACCATATTGTGGACCCTCCCCCACCTACATTGCTTATGCTAATAGCCATTCACTCTTATATACTGCTTTGCTTACAAAATCATAGTACCATTCTCCTACTAATTCTCCATAAGCTTGTCTGCAACACATTATTATGGCTCCTGATATTTACAAGATTTATTATGGTAAATATATAAAGACAATTTTGTAAACTTATTTTGACATGTTTTGCTTATCAAACTGAAAAAAAAAAAAAAAAATTCTTTCAACCAAATGCTATTTTATTTTTTTAAATAAAAATTGAAAATAATTTACTCAGATGAATATGCATTGAAAGTACAAAGGTCTATGAATCCAAAAGAAGCTTTCATATGATCTGAATCACATTCTGTTTTATCAATATACAATTGGTTGAAATAAGATCTATTTTTCTGATGACACTGATCAGCAAAACCTGTCAAAAGTTTTCCAAATTCTTACATATATTTACCATGCCATTAGATTATAATCCAAATTTAAATCAAGGTGTATTATATACATCCCATTATCTAATAAACTATTGAAATATCATTTGTTCTACATGTTCATAATAATTGTCTTCATGGCATCTAGATGTGTATACCTTCTAGTAGATATATTGTTATCATTACAGAGATATTATGTAGATTAATTGTGCTTTCCAGCTAACTAGAATTAGATTAGTTTGTTTTGGCAGTTTAACTTTGTAGGTGGTTTCCTGCATTGAACAATTTCCCATTAAAAAGTATGTGAATGAGAAGTCATTAGCCGTGCTAACTTGTGAGTTTTCCCATAAGATGTAACTTGCTATAAGAATTTTACCTTTTTCAATTTCCCTTTGTTAAGCTGTAGTATTCTTCCTATATTTTAATTGTTTTCTCATTCTTAACTTAAATTAACTGAGACTAAAACTTTCCCATTTTGTTTATTTTATTTATTCATTTATGGGAGAATATGATTTATAAATTTCTGTGTGTCAGAACAATGAATTTAAAGTGGAAAAATTCTGTTACATGTTTCATCCTCAAGGAGGACTTCCTTGAAATTGTTTTTATTGATATGTGTGTGTGTGTGGGGGGGGAATAAACATAAGCATTTGTTTAAGTTATTTACTAAAGTAAGTGTGAAGATGCAGGAATGCTGAAATTTAAATTATTTATTTATTTATTTTTCAGACATATATTCTCGCTTATCTCTTTCAGTTTCCCTACACTTCTGTTTTTGTTGTTATTATCCCACATTGTGACAACATGATCTGCCAAGATCAGTCATTGACTGTAATGGATCTGACCATAATTTCAATTTAAGAAATGCCAATTTAATTAAAAGAAAAAGCTATTTACTCAGGTGAAAATATATAGGAAGTACTTTGATTACTAAATCACTTACAGTAAAATTACAATAAGGGAATCTGAATGAGATTGGCTAGAATATATGTCTGGACACATCCAGAGGTGGATTTTAAATTTTAGTGTTTCCCCTTGGTACAGAATAAAAACTGTTGCTTGCATTTTTACATCTCCTCTCCCCCTCCTAAACATATATAACTTCATAAATAAAAACATTGCTTTAGTCCAATGAAGTCCTTCAAGAGGACAAAATGTGCAGCACAGAATTTTTCCATTTTATCATTGTGTATTCATTTAATGAGTGTTTATTGTCTATTTGTTTTCTGATGTTCTGAAATTATTTTCATTATAATGCTTTTTTTAATGCCATCATTTTTATTGTTTTTAACACAATGTTTTGACTAATATGAATTAATTGAACAGAGAAGTTAGTTATTTGTTAAAAATGTAAACATATTTGTTTATATATAATTTTATTTTAGGTTATTTATTACATTTATTTTAATCTTTGATTTTAGCAGAGCACTTTGTCCAAAACATTTTCAAATTAGATGAATGTTTTCTTTATGATTCATTTAATATTTTTCTTTATTCTTCTTCATCAAACAGAGGACTCTACTTTAAGCTCTTGTATTAATCTTAATGAGATGAAAATAGGTGAGATTTGGATTTTTTCCTCTTGCTGGAGGAAGCATTAGCAGATTCTTGGTACCAAATGATCTTACATTTGAGCACCTGATACAACTTGATGTTTTGACCTCTTTTTTTTTTTTTCTATGATGATAAAATCTAAACCAAATGTGTATATGTATTCATTTTTTACAAAATCTATTGAAGCTTCCTCTTTAATCTTAGTAACTTTTTATTATTACTGTGTTAATTATTTTGATCTTATTTGGGGAGGGTATTTCCTTTCCCTTTTTATACATGTTCTGCTAAGCATGAATTAATGGCTTTTTTCCTTAAATTCTCTTACAACTGTATAGGATGCTATGTGTCACCTCTGGTCATGTTTTTCCCTTGCTGAGAACTTTTGTGTAGGACTTGTAAATACAGTCTGAAGTGGAGTTTTATTATTAAACATGATATTAACAGCAAATGCTTTGGCTCTTTTTGACAACCTTTTTTAAATACAGAATAGAAACTGTTGATATCAAAGCTTTTCACTATTTTGGTAGTTTCAGAATTTGTATTTTATTTTATATTGTTTTGTATAAGATTTTAGAGTTATTGTTTAGGAGTTTGGTTTAATGCTCTAATCAAAGTGTTTTTTTTGTTGTTTTTTTTTGGGGGGGGTGATCTCAGTTCTAAGTATAACATTGTGTTTTATTTGTATATATATATATATGGATGTCTTCATTCCATATCCTGTGCAAGTCACAAGGATATTTTAAAAAACACTTTTTTTTTCTCTAAACAAGTATAATATTTTACCATAATTTAATAGTGAACGTATATCCTTCAGTCCAAATCCTGCAGGTATTTTCTATATAACTGGGCCACATTGTAGGTTTTATTGACACTATTATTAAAGCAAAATCTTCAAATATATCATTTAGATTTTAGACATAATTGGTGAAAGTTGTGATCCAATAGCCATGTTGTCTTTATTTGGAATATGCTCACCATATACAGAATTTTATATTTATAATGCCTTGTCTTTTGGAACTTTGTTAGATGAACTTAACAACTGTATGGTTTGTCTGGGCAAGTCTTTTATTGGATCTTCAAAGTAGAGTGAAGATTAAGGTGGAATTTTTTCGTAAGTAGATTGTTTATTGCTGTAAAAAATGTGGTCAGTAGATAAATTTGAACTTCAAAAAGTGACAATGATTATAATGAATACATGCCTGTACACATGGTGACGCTGAAAAGTTCTTGGTTTGATCCACTTTGCAAAATCTGAACAAATGACCAAATATCAGTCTGTTTTTTTTTTTATTTTTAAGAGTTTATAAAGCTTATTGGCTAGACCACAAATTTTTCAGTACATGCTAGTATTATATTATGTGGAGATGATTTTTTAAGAGTTTGTATTGAGTTTTTTTTTTTTTTAGTTTTTTCAGTTTATTGTAATGTAATCTATTCATGTAGATTAAGCTTATTTAAATACTTTGGCTTGTTAAAAAATGATTACTACTTTTGTCAGTTGGTCAATTTGAGGTCATTTGAAGAATATCAGCATTGTTAATGTTTTCTAAGAGACAGATTCCAATCTCATTTGTTTTCATATAAGTACAACTAACAATAAACATAAATATTCAGTCCTGTGACTTATATGGATGGATGTGGAGGTAGTATAACAGCTATTAGTGTGGAAAGTGAATTCAGCAAGCTGAGTTCAAATTTCAGGCTTGCTTGGTGCATTCATTTTCACAAATGCCTTTATTAAAAGCCTAAATTAATCTCTTCTCTCCTCAGTTATGGGAATAGCAGAATGTACTGGCCTCTCTAGCCTTGATTTTTAACCAATATAGGAGAAAGAAAACTCTGACAGCCAGACCATATCAAATGGAATAGAAACCACACCAGTATATTTTGCAAGAGGTCATGGTATGTGTAGATCCCATGATAAAATATAATGACTTATACTGTCGTGTTGAGGAAATGGGTGTTAGAAAAATAGTGAGCAAATTTCAAAAAACCTGAATGAAGATTAGGTCTTGTTAAAATATTCAACATGTCCATAAAGGAAAAGAAGAAAATTTGGTCTCATCTCTTGTCCAGTATGATTTTTTTTGCATGACACCATTGTGGTTTAATACCCCAAAATCTGCTCTGTCAGATTCTGTCATTGATCACATCCTGCTTTTGGTGTCTTCACCATAACCCATGGCAGAGTAGCTTCTTAGTGCTATGCCTTGCCAAAAGGAAAACCAGGATTTGATCCTCACGGTCACATACAGTTTTGAATTTCTAACCACAGCTAGAGCTCAGTCAGCCCTGCTATTTAATCCATAGCTTGGGGAAGAAGAAATGATTCATGCCTTTCTCAAGGATATTTGCATGTAAGTGAATATAACAAACTTGACTGTAATTCACTCAGCTCTCATTCCAAGCTGTTATTTGTTACAACATATGCACATCCAACCAAAAAATTAATGACATTGCTTAATCCAAGAAATTTGAATAATTTAAACAATTACATTTATAATTGAAGTAAACATGCAACAAAAGCAAGATGAAAGAAAGATTTGTCAAGGATTAATGACATTGCTTCCTCATAGAAATTGTGTTCTTATGTTCATAAGAAAAGTTCATCTTTTCAATGAATTCATCTTCAGATCTGTTGGAGATTTTTTATTTACTTTTTTTTTTGTATTTTTTTAAGTGAGAGAAACATAAAATTAACATTGTTGAATGGAGAAAAGTTATTAAAAAATGCTTGCAAGTAATCAGCCTTCACTTGACAAGCAAGTTTAATATTTACACTGTTTACATTGTTCAGACTGTTGTCTTCATTTTTATTGTCATATTCATGACATTTCAGTCATTGTATGCTTCGGCCTTCTTCAGGTGATATATGTTAGAATTTTGAACCAAACCCTTTATTTGGTCCATGGAAGTAGATTGTTCTATTTCCACATACCATGCCTTTTCTGGATATCTCAGTTTTCAGTTAATTCCCCAAGAACACATGGCCCAGTGTATAAAAGTGTTGGATGAAGTAATTCAAAAGTAACTTGACCAAAAGAGTCATGAATTTAATACCAGGCCACAAAAATTTGTTGAGTAACTAAAGGGAATTAACTGAAAACTGAGATATTCAGAAAAGGCTTGGCATGTGACACTAGAACAATCTACCCCTGTGGAATAAATAAAGGGTTTGATTCAAAATTCCAACGTATATCACCTGAAGAAGGGTGGAGCATACAATGGCTAAATTGTTGTGAGTATGGCAATAAAGATTAGCACAACAGTCTGAACAATGTAAATAGTGTAAATAGTTACAATATCTCATCTAAGAAATATAGATAGAAGTTTAATATTGCATTATTTATTCTCAATGTTCTGAGAATGTATAAACATTGTTTATTAATAAATTCACCAATGATCATTATTTACTTATCTCAGAATAATTACCCGCAGAGATGTTTTTGGAATTACCTTCATCTTTTCAAGATTGTCTGAAATGTAAAAAAAAAAAAAAAAAAGTTTGTACAAAGAGTTCAATTTCTAAAATCTGTCATTAAATTATCTCCCTTTTTGCTCTTAATAGTTTCAACAATTTAGTTTTATTAGTATTTACCTGGATTCATATTCTGTTTTGTTCTATTCTAAAACAATCATTACCAAACATCTATTTACAGCCATTTGCCAGAAGGGAATGGAGGATTGCTTTACTGAAAATATTGCAAGAGGAAGGAAAATAACTTCTATAAGAAAATAAATGGATATCATTTTGTAGTGATTTTTAATCAAATTTTATAAATTGGCACATTTCATGCTATCTTGACATTTTTTTTTAATGACCAAATAATTTCTGGGTAGTGGACATGTCTTTTAAAATTTAAATTTTGTCTAACTTTTGATTTGGTTATAATCAATAAACATTAGTGTCTCCCTAATTCTTTAAAGTATGATGGTTTTATTTAAACAAAGGAATTTACTGCCATTGTTCATATTTGGAAAGATAAGATTTTTGACTTTTGTTAAGTTTGTTATAATTTAACTTTTTAAAATAATATATCTAGTGACTATTAATAGAATTAAGCAATAAGGTCATTTCCATTGCTTAGCTTTATGAACATCATTTTCATTATTTGCTATTTGTCTTTCAATCTGTTCTTGCGTGTTTATTCTGAATGCTTTGCTTCTGATAAATTTATGGTAAGTATATCTTTTCTTTATGATGACCTTATTACTTTCTGTTTTAATTTTCAGGATAAGGAGTTATCATTATTTGTACTATTCATATTCAGACTATTGTCCTCATCATCCTTTGTTTTTGTTATCACAATGTTTTGACCATTGTACCCTCTTTAGGTGTATATCAATTTGGGTAACCTACAGGAAATTCTGAACTTTATTTAATCTACAGGTGTAGACTGTTCTCATTCCACTACCCATGTCTAGGAATATCTAGTTCTTATTTTTAGTATTATTCAGCTATTGCTTACCCGTTTCTGCTGAGTCGAAGTACACACTGCCTTAGTGTCAGTTTGTGAATTTGGTGACAGTAATTATGAGTTCACTCCCTGGGCTGGGTAGTGTATACTTGAACTCAGTGGAAACAGGTGAGCATTAACTGAACAGTACTAAAAATAAGTACTAGATGATATCCCTAGACATGGGCAGTGGAATGAGAACAGCCTACCTCCATAAATAAAAGGTCCAGTTCAGAATTTCCTGTAGGTTACCCTAATTGATATGAAGACCAGAAGTCACAATGTCTGAAATGTGATGGCAACAACAAAATATGAATAATCGTCCAAATATTGAGTTATTGTAACAAAGAAAAATATTATTTTATATATTTAATGATTAACTTAATGTTTGTGATTAATGCTTTGTCCAAATTTTTCAATTTTCAAATGGAATTATTTTTAATACAGCAAGATTTGATTTAAGAAAAACAATTGAAAAATGTTTCATTTCTTGATTCAAATCTTTTATTTTACTTATTTTTAGAAATTTTAACTATTTCAAAACTCTTCATAAATAGATATAAATATTGACACAAAATGATTTTTATATTTGATATGTAATCACTTAACATTTTCTATTGAGAGATAACTTTGTAAAAATTATATATGGAAAATTAAAAATTTTCTTTTTACTTTTAATATAGAATTTTAAAGAAAAGAATTTTCATTCAGATACAATTTACTTTAGGGCTATACAATAATGTTTTATCAGTAAATTCATTGTAAAATACACATATATATATATTCCAGATGTTTCTTCCTTTACTGATTGCTTCTCTACACATGAAGCTATTACTGAGAGTCTCAATGACCTCAGCACTGATGACAAATATCACATACAAGAAAAAGTTCCAAATGATGAAAACCTTACTTTGGAAGCTGAGAAAGTCTCATCAGTTTCCTCAAGTCCTGATGACACTGCAATTAACACTATTAAAGAGACAACTGAAGCACTTCCCACAAGCAACAAACCTGTAAAGTAAGTTTTGTTTTTTTAGTTGGTGTTATTAACCAGGTAATGTCATTTCAAGCAAACTTAAATCTATCTATCTATTAGCTCATTCTTAGTATTAATCAGAATCAATTTAGTATGAATTTGTCAGTATAATAATGACTTCATCCAGGTCAAATTTCTCATGCAATCTTAAGAAAGAAAAAATAAATTTTTTTTCATCTGTTCATTATTACTAAAAAAAAAAAATCATTACAAAAAAAGAAAAAAAATTAAAAAACAAAAAAAAACTTCCCTTTAAAATAGTTATAAATTCCATTTCATTCATATACTTGGTATGTAATTATTTTCATGATTATATATTTTATAGTTTTTTTTTTTTTTTTTAAGTATTTACTGTAAGTAAATCACTACTTGGATGAGCACTTTGGTTTCTATTAAAAATTTAAAAAAATATTTGCATTAAAATAAAAATAATTGCAATTTCAGTTATTTTATATAAATGAAGATTTTAACTTTCCAAAATTTGAGGAAAAATCAGTTGTATATTCTTTTGTTCATGAATATAATAATATTTTCATGGCAATTTCACTTGAATCCAGTAACTAAATGCAAGTAAACATAACAAAAATGATGGAAAGAATTTTCTGGAAAATTTGGGGAATAGAATGTTTCTACCATCTGATTGTTTTAATAATGAATAGTTTTTGAAACAATCAGGTTGCAGTGAAATAATAATTTTATTTAATGTTATAAGTTCACATAAGAAATTGATTATAGTAAACAATGAATTATGAAAAAATCTTTTCTCTTACTAGCATTTGAATATAAATGATATTAATATATACAAGGTAGAAAATGTTTTACTTTGAATATATTAGTATTGTTTAAGGGTTCTTATTTAAAATTAGATTTTTTTTTTTTAACTTGGAGAAAGATTTTTTTTTAATTTATTTTGCTAGAAAAAATGAAATAGTATTATACAAACAACAGTGAACTTTTTTTAACCATATTTTCCAAAAATTTCCTTTCTCTATAACAAAATGCTAAATTTGCTGCCAATAATAGCTGAACATAGAAAAATTTCTCCTTTTCATTGTTATTTGCACCAAACTGAGTTTGATTGTTTGGAAATAGAAATTATTTTGAAACTGTTTGATTTTACTCAGTGTATGTTTGTTTACAGAATATATAACTACAGTTGTAAGATTACAATAATTTACCATAAAAGTTAATAAAAACACAAGGCCTATTGGTCTATGTATAGTCCTCCACTGATTTTTGTATATTTTGTTTCTTCTAGCATCTATTTAAATTCTAGTTTTTCACTAACTGCTTCATCTATAAGTCTATTCCAATTGTTAATGATGCTTTGAGAGAAATGAAAACAGCAACAGCATTAATAATAGCTTTACTATGCCCTCTTGATTTATTATTTTCTCTAAGCTCAAAGAACTTTCTAAAATCAATATCTGCAAATAAAAAATCTTTTACCAAATTAATTTAGTATTCTTTTGTTTTATTAGCACTTGTTTAAATCTCTGGTTCACATAGAATCTAACTGTTGCAAAATAATTTCTGCTTCCACACATTTTGAAACACAAAATTAATAATTTTGCTTTTAGTTTTAAATTGTCTTCTTCTTTTTTTTTTTTTTTTTACTTTTTCTAGAAATAATTATGTTTAAAATGTATCGGTACCATAGCTGCTCATGTGTAATGCAAGAAATCATGTATCCGAACAAAAAAAACAAAAACAAAACTGGTATGAACAGTAGGTCATAAAATACTTTGATAATTTCCAAGATGCACTGCTTTGTGGAACACTCCTATGTGAATGTTTTCTCCAAAAATAAACCTCTTCAAGTCAACGGTCAGTTGTTAGCTAACCTTCATATCCACACAATCCTCACTTCTTACTTAATACTATTACATTTATATCACACACCTCATTTAATGACTTACTTTGAGTGTCTCTTGAGCCTTGTATTGGGTGAACACTAGTAAAAATAAAATATCAACTAAATGCTATATATATTAAATGGCTCACCTGTTGAATAACTAATTTTGGTCAGAATGATTGTCAGTTCTGTTTAACTACCTGCCTTATACTGTTGACAGATATTTCTATATGTGACAGAAACTCTTATCTTTGTCCCTTCATAAGCAGCAAGATATTCACATCTACAGACTTCACTGGATTCTGCAATTGTCTTTGATATTACAATATGTCAGTCTCTTGAAAACTGATCTTACCATCCATGCATAAAGTGTGAAACAAAAAAACAAAATATTAATGATTTTATTTATTCATTTATTTTTTACAACCCTGTATAAAGACTCAAGGTATTGTTACAGAGTAAAAGGCACAGTTTATACGGATATGTAGGGAAGGTAATGGCTGACCCTAGACTTGAACAGGCTAAGATCGTAGTGATTGGGGAAGCATTGTCTTAGCTGTTAGTTTCACAAAACAACAGTTCATGGGAAGAAGCTGATCAAGTGGAACTTATATTTTACTGATGGAATATGAAGGGAATGAAGGCAGTTCACTTCAATGTGCATGGCAGTGAGAGATTTGTGATGCTTTGTCTGTGGGAAAGGGATCGTAGGGTGTAAAAATAATTAATGAGGATATGCTTTTGGACTGTCTAGACTGGAAAGTGAAGACTGGGGAGCTACTGCCCATATATGGCAGCAGCACTCCATTTTCAGCCTGATCTAACTCTTATAAAAGGTATAGGATAGTGGGAGGAGTCAGGTATTTACTGGAGAGGTACAGGGAACTGACCATTTTTCAGCTTCTTTAGTGATGTATTGTATGTATGAATTCTGCTTGGAGTCTGGGTTTAGTTTGTCCCAATAGGAATTCAAGACATGGGGCCACCATGAGAGAGCATCAATTCATCACAATAGGTGAAAATTCAGGGTCTGCTCAGTGATGATGGGACATCACTCATTTGATTTTCAAGGAATTGAATGAGATCAGCCAATTCACCCCACCCACTGACCTGTTAAAGCTAGGTCAGAGAAGAGATTAGCCCTGGTCATCTAGAGTTTTGGAGGTGCACCCAAAATAAAAATAAATTTGCATAAATTTTTTTTCTTTAAATTTTTATAAATTTAAAGAAAAAAAATGAGTAAGGTGGTTGCATTATACATGAATAAATATGGCATATTAAGAAAAGTAAAATTTTCATTTTATACAGGAGAAAAATTGCTTCCCATTCATCTGTATTGATAACAGCATCTTTGCAGATTACTATATGTTTTTCTTTGCTTTCAGTTTGGCTCTAATTTTTGTTTTCTGAAATCTGTTCTATTTACTTTCTAATATCTGCAACTCCCATTTGTTGTTGCCTGTACTTGCTTTTATTTTCTGTTGATAAAATTGAAAGATGAAAACTACCTTACTGCTGGTGACATATAATTTTTGATTTAACCGTTCATCACTCTGTGATTTCATTTGTTGTACAAAAGTTTATCCTGCCACTAAAGGTGACTGATCTTTGATGAATAGCGTGTTTGAATTTCATAGTTGTATTGTTATATCCTGCTATGGCAACAGAAAACAACTTTGTGCAAAATTAACAATAAAGTTACTGCAATTGAGAGACCTTAAAAAAGAATGCAGTGGAAAGAGAAGTAATATTAGTAATGCAGAGTGCTAAAGGTTAAATATTATCATGCATGGTTATAAATTTTTTTTGAGATGTACTTTCTCTATTATAACCAAGACTACAATAATATTTATTTATTATTTTAATCTTTTTTACTTACTCTTTCGAGATTTTTATGACCTAAAATGCTGATGAGCTTGAAAAATCATCTCTGTTCACACTATCATCACTTGCTCTGTAATAGGTACTATGGTAGGTTCATAAATAATAAATAAAATTATACTGATAGTTCTTTATGTGCCATGTTTCCTCAGTAAGTGATCATGGCTCTTTACAATTTCCTGTTCTTTGTAGCTCTTAATAAATTTTGTCTTTTATTTCTCATGAACCCTGTTCCACTATCCATTTACTCAACAAATGTTATGTGCTGTTTTTCTTTGTCCCACTTGCCTTCAATCTGTCTTGTAAGTATCAGATTTTTCAAGACCTCTATCCTCATTATGTGCTCTAGAAATTTCAACTGTCTTTTCCTGATGTTAAGTATAAGTTTCCTTTTTTTTTCATTATGGTCAAATAAATAAAACTGAAATTTTTTCAAATGATTCTCATTTGTGTGATAGTATTCTTAGAGAGGATTTGTTAAAATTTGTAAAAAGAACAGAAAAGTTTCCAAAATGCTACATACCAGAGAGCATACATCCAAGCTATGAAAAATGAATGAAGAACTAAATCCTGTAGCAAGGAAAATTGGAATTGAGACCAAGGTTGTAGACCTCCAGAAAAGTGTCATTTACTCTGCAAAGATTCTCCAAAAAGTTCTTTAGTTGTGAAGTCTTGACACCATGCTTCAAGAACAGAATTTTCATTGACTATATCAATGTGTGAACCAACATAATAATAATATTATAATTTAACATTTTATTCTTGATAAGATAAAATGCAAAACACTAGTTATTGCTTAGTTTTAATAGTTAAAACTTTGATGAATTCAATTTTATTAATGAACAAAAGTTAGATAAGCATCCATCTTTGTAATTAACACTCAATGTTTTTTAAAAAACATTGATTAGAAAGTTGAATCCATAATGACTAATTATATTCAGAATAAAGTTGATTAGATGTACAAATTATTGATTTTTTTTTTGCTTGCATTGTCTTATATAAAAGAAACAAAACACTTTTTGAATGTTAATTTGAAATATACTGAGATCATATTTTATAGCTGCATTCTTGTAATGATGATTCTAACAGGATCCTGCAAAGTTCTCAGCCTGAACTACTTCCTAAAATCTGACCTAACATCAGAATTTTTAAAGGCTCTTTGATTTTAAGAACTTATCAGTATCTTCTGATATGTGTCCTGACTTGCTTTTCCCTGAATATTATACAAACTGACTCTTTGTGAGTGAACA